CCTCCTCCTCCTCCTCCTCCTCCTCCTCCTCCTCCTCCTCTTCGTCCTCCTCCTCCTCCTCCTCCTCCTCCTTCTCCTCCTCCAGCCTCTCCGCCCCCTCGTGGGGGGTGAGCGGGGGCGTGCCTCTGGCGCCGCCAGCGTGTCCAGCAGGAAGCAGGCCGCCGAAGCCAGGCCTTCGCCCACCGCGACCTGCACCACGGCGGGGCCGCGGCCGGTGTCCCACCACTCGGTGTCCTCGCGTCGGCGAGGCACGGGCACACGAAAGAGCGAATCTGGGCAAGGGTGACCACTGGTGCGCGGCTTCAGGGGGCCGCGAGGGGCCCAAATCCAAGCGCGCGGACCAGTGCTGGGGCCACCAGTGTATGCCCGCACCATATGTCCCTCTGACGACAGGTCACTCCCACGTGTGGCCGAGGCACGGGTGAGCGCGCGGAGGCGCGCGGGGGTGCGATGCCATCGGGCGGCGTCCGAATCAAGCAGCGGCGAGGGGGCGCAGCAGGGGCCGCGAGCAGCCCTCGGCACCGAAGCGGCAGCAACGCGGCAGCGAGCAGGCTGCCGCCACGCGCGCTCGCCCTGCTTCGGCCGTCCGCTCTCGCAGAGGGGGGCGCCCGCAGGTGGCGCGCCCAACGGCGCCGACGGGGAGGCCTGGCAGCTCGCGGGCGCTGGCGCCTCGCAGGCGCGGGGGCGGAAGCGCTCGTGGGAGCTCGCGCTCGCCGCGACCGCCGCCGCCGCGGACGCTCGCGCCCCGCGATCGTGGCGAGGACGCGGCGCCTCTCGCGGCAGCTCGCGCCGCGCCGCCCCGGAGCTCGAGGCGCGCGCGAGCTCGAGGCGCGGGCGGGCCGAGTGCGGGCGGGAGAGGCCGGCGGGGCGGGCCGCGCCCGCGACCGGCACGATCACGCTCGGGTCCCTTCTCTCGGGGACCTCCTCCTGCTCCTCCTGCTCCTCCTCCTGCTCCTCCTCCTCCTCCTCCTCCTCCTCCTCCTCCTCCTCCTCCTCCTCCCCCTCCTTCTCCTCCTCCTCCCTCCTCCTCCTGCTCTTCCCTCCTCGATCCTTCTCTCCTCGCACGCAACGGTCTTGGACGCCCATGTCGAGGCGTTCCGAGCGCAGCGCGGCCCGAGGGACCCGCGGAGCGGAGCGCGGCTCGAGCGAGCCTGGCGGGTGGGGCCCGAGGTTGCCGTCGTCGTCGTCGCCGCGACGCTCGCGCAGTCACGTTCTCACCAGCGACGGGTCGTCCGCAGCCCAAGAGGCTCCCAAAAAGGCTCCACGACGGCTTCCAGGCGATCCACGAAGGCTCCAGAAACTATAGCAACGGCCCGGGAGAGCCGCAGGACGGTCCCAAGAGGGCTCCACAACGGTCCAACAGGGTCCCCAAAGGCTGACCAGACGGTCCACGCGGGGGACGATTCGGTCCAAACCGCCCAAGATTGCCTCCAGACGGCCCCATAGGCCCCCAAGACGTTTGTAAACGCGTCCACGAGGCGCTCCAAGAGGGGTCCAGAAGCAAAAATCGTCCCAGTTCCGCAGGGAAACATGCATTTTCAGTACAGTCGCCTCCAAGTTCGACCCCCGACACCCCAAGAGGCTCTCAAAAAGGCTCCACGACGGCTTCCGGGCGCACCGCGAAGGCCTCAGAAACCACAGCAACGGCACAGGACAGTCGCAGGACGGCCCCACGAGAACCCCACAGCGGGCCAATAGGGATCGCAAAGGCCTTCTGGAGAGGGGGGCGATTCGGTCCAAACCGCCCCAGCTTGCCTGCAGACGATTCCCCTTAGGCCCCCGAGACGTTTGACAAAGCGACTACGAGGCGCTCCACGAAGGCCTCCGCAAGCAAAAATCGCCCCATTCCGCACGGACAAAACAAACATCTTAATAACACCCGCCCGTTGGCCCTTCACGAGGCCCACAACGGCCCAAGAAGGCAACGGCCCAGGAGAGCCGCAGGACGGCCTCAAGAGGACCCCAAAAGGGTCCCCAAAGGCATCCTGGACGGCCCACGAGGGCTACGAGTCGTCGAGAGATCGCTCCAAGACGCTCCAGATTGCCTCCCGGCGGTCCTGCAGGCCCCCAAGACGCCCCAACAAACCACCCGGAGACATCCCTGGAGGCTTTCCAGAAGCAAAAACCGTTTCTCTGGAAAACATACATTTCCAGCGCGTTCGCCTCTTCTGCTTTCACATCGGACATCGGACATCGGACCTGCAGCTGTCGCCGGCGAGGGCGTCGCAGGTTGGCGCCGTGGCACTGGGCAAGTGTGAGATGAACAAACAACACATGCGTGAACATGCTACGCTACAACATGCGATATACTACAAAGCAGAAGAAGGATCAGGCGCCGTCCTGCCTACATACGCTGCCTACATACGCTGCTTTCACATGGCCCACAACAACCCAAAGAGCCTTCCAGATCGACCCAACACGACCCGAAAAGGCCCCCCCTAAAAGAGCCCCAAACAGCCCAAATGGGCGCCAAGAAGCCCTCGAGGCCACGAAACCCACCCAAGACGGCCCCAAGACTGCCCCGAAAGAATCCCCAAATGGGTCCCGCAAGGCTCCCCCGACGGCCCCAGAGCGCAAGTTACGACTCGTGAGGAGATCGCTCCCAGACGCCCGCCATGGCCTCCAGCTGACCCCTGAGGCCCGCTAGACGCCCCAACGCACCACCAGGACGCGTCCCAAGAGGCCCAGCAAAACCAAACCTTGGCCCCTTCCTGAAGCGAAACGTTCAAGTTTAACACGTTCGCTTCTTGAGCTTTCACGAGTCCCACAGCAGCCCCCAAAACAAACATAATCAACCCAAAAAACCCCGCGTGCTCCCAAGAAGGCTCATAGACGGCACAAACGAGCCCCAGCAGGGCCCCCGAAGCCACCAGGGAACGCCCCAGGAGGGCCCCAAGAGGAGGGTAAGAGGGGAAACCCGAATGAAGAATTCGAGCAATTCGCCCCGAGGAAAAGATGAAAGGGCGCCTAAATGCACCCGAAAGGCCCTGACTGGGATCCACAATGCCCCCAGGTGACCCCGGGGCCGGAGGCGGGTCCTTCGACGACGCAAACAACGCAAAACAATGAAAAGACTAAGACTCTGCAACCAAATCCTTTCTTTTCATCACGCAGAAATCGCTCACCATGGGCCCCCCCGACTCTTCCCGGAATCCAGTCGCAATCGTTTTCCCCAATGCATCCAGCCGCGGCGACAGGGGAGGGGCCCAGACCCCTCCAACCACGACATACCTCCCGAGTCCGACGGGCTACTTCGCACAAGTTCGTTCCCCGAGCCTCTCCCCGGGTCCGCCGATGCAATTTCTCGCCCCAGGCCCGTCCGGCTTTGAAAGTCCTGGGGCCCAGCAACGGCCCCCAGAGACCGAAACCTACCAACATAAACAAAAGTTCAAACACAATTATTTGGAAAGGCGGCCGGAACTGCCGCGGGCATCTACCTCGATCGAGAAGAAGAAGAGGAGCAGGAAGAGGAGGAGGAAGAGGAGGAGGAAGAGGAAAGAGTAAAGAAGATTTTGTCGTTGCCGCCGATGTCTCACAGATTTCCGTGATTTTTCGACCGCCCGAAGCATCTCCTCGAATCGACTACACGCAAGAGTGACCCTGGCTAAGAGTGACCTTTGGTGCGCGGCTTTTGGGGGTCCGCGGGGGGGCAAGACACAAGCGCGCAAGACGCGCAAGATGCCACTGCCGCCTCGCGTTCGGCGATCGGGGGACCCCATTGGGCCCGCACCAAATGTCACTCCGGCGAAAGGTCACTCTTACGTCTAGTCGATCGAATTCAGCCCCCAGGAACCATTTTCGGTGCCCGGGACCACCACCGAGGGTCCAGGGTGAAGATCGACCTCCCTGGCCGGTGCCACCCCTTCGCAATGGAAGGAACACGGGGTGAATCGAGACTCGAGGCATGAGACTCCTAGGTTCTTGGGCGCTCTCCGCCCCCTTTGGGCCTTCAAGGAGCTCCTCGTCGACACACTTGGGTCCACTCTCGAATGTCTGGCCAGACGCACCCCCGGCTGGGTCTCAACGATCCCCGGGTCCCCGAGCCTATCCAGGGGGTGGAAGAGGAGGCCTGGGACAGGCCCCATGAAGGCCCCAAGAAACCAACAGAAGACCACGAAAAACTTCAAAACACTCCTCTACATGGCCACCCCTTGAACCCCACACGCTGCGTAAGGCAGGCCGAACCCCCAAGATTGCCCAGCGACCGCGAGCGTTCCGCGAACTCCGTCTTTCACTCTTGCTGCCGCCCCAAGGGGTCGGCGGTGCGGCGTGAGCCAATGAATCGGAATCCGAGGTCGAATCGAATCGGCATCGGACGCCATCGAAGACGAGCCAAATCGAATCGGAGGAATCGAAACGAGCCCTGGGAGCTGGCGACCCCCCCTGTGGTGACCCTTCTCTTGACCCCCGCGCCCCCGGTCCAGCGCCGCCACTGGCGCCGCCAGGATCCTCTGCAGCACGCGAGCGTGGCGCTGCACACCCCGCTTGTGAACCGCCATTCCTCACATCCTCACTCCTCCTCTCCTCCTCTCCTCGCCTCCTCCTCCCCCTCCTTCCTCCCCCTCTTCCTATTACCGTCCTTCCGTCCTCCTCCTCCTCCTCCTCCTCCTCCTCCTCCTCCTCCCCCTCCTCCTCCTCCAGAACTCCGGCGTCGTGCCGTGCTCACGGCGCTCAGATGCTCGTTCTGAGGACCTTCCTGGAGCCACTCGCCCCTCTCACAGCGCTCAGATGCTGCGTCGAAGGCCGTCGACGTGAACCAGGGTCGAATTAGAGTCGAACTTGCGTCAAACGGGAGCCGAACTAGATCGAACAGGTCCGCCTGGTGGGCCCCAGGACGGGCCCCGAACGAGCATCTCTGACCACGTGGACCCCCGGGAGTCTAGACCTTCTCTAATGGGCCCGCTTTCCACCACCACTATCATAGGTAGGAAATGGAGGAGGAGGAGGCGGAGGACGAGGAGGAGGAAGAGGAGGAGGAGGAGGACCTCCTCATCCTACCTTCTCCCCCGTCATACATATGGTAGTGGTGGTGGAAAATGTGCCCATCATTCTCTCTGGGACTGGAGTCTGACCCTGGGGTCGCTTCTTGACGGTGCCGGTGCCTGGTCGGAGGCAGGAATCGACCAAAGACTGGCCGTCGTGATTTTTGTTACGCCTGGGGGAGGTGGAGGTGCACGTCCTCCTGGGCCTCGGGGACGCCTCCCCGCCCCGCGCTCAGCAAGGCGGTGCTCTCGCGTCGGGGCGCTGTGCGGAGCACGTCAGCTTCTCCTTGTCCTCCTCATTCCGTCCTCCTTGCGCATCCCTTGCCATCCTCCTGGTCATCATCACCACCATCATCACACTCCCAATCATCACCACCATCATCATCATCATCATCATCACCACCACCACCACCACCACCACCACCATCATCATCATCATCATCATCATCATCATCATCATCATCGTCATCATCATCATCATTATCATCATCATCATCATCACCATCATCATCATAATCATCATCATCAGCATCATCATCAGCAGCACCAGCATCAGTACCAGCATCAGCATTATCATAATCATTATAATCAGCATCGTTAGCATCATCATCATCATCATCATCATCAGCAGCAGCAGCATCATCATCATCATCATCATCATCAGTATCATTACCATCATCCTAGTCATCATCATAAGCAGCATCATCACTATCACAATCACCATCATCGGCATCATCATCATCAGCATCAGTAGCAGCATCAGCACCAGCGTTTGCATCAGTGCCAGCATCAGCATCTGAATCAGGTTCATCCTCATCATCATACTCATCCTCCTCATCACCATCACAATCATCATACTGATGGTGATGCTAATAATGATGATGATGATGATCATCATCATCATCATCATCACCATCATCATCGTCATACTCATCCTCTTCCTCATCCTCATTATCATCGGCATCAGCACTAGCATCAACTTCAACATCGTCAACACCACCATCTCCATCACCGTCACCATCACAATCACCGCGATGATGATGCTGATGATGATGATAATGATGATAATGATGATGATGGTGATGATGGTGATGATGAGGGTGATGATGATGAGGATGAGCATCATCGCCATCATCATCATCAGCATAATCAGTATGATCATCATCGTCAGCATCATCATGATCATCATACTCCTCGTCCTCATCCTCATCCTCATCCTCATCAGCATCAGCATCAACATCGACATCACCATCACCAGCATCACCATCACCATCACCGTTACCATCAGCAACACCAGCATCATCATCACCACCATAATGATCATCATCATCATCATCATCATCAACATCACTATCCTCATCATCATCTTCATGAGCATCACCGGTCTCAGCATCATCATCAGCATCATCAACATCACCATCATGATCATCATCATCATCATCATCATCAGCATCATCATCGCCAGCACCATAACACCACTCACTGTTCCATCATCACAATCACCTGGTCATCGTGCCCCTCATCGTCCTCCTCCCTTCTGCTCCTCGACATGCCGCGCCTTATTTGTTTCGCGCCTTCTGATTATTCCCCGCATCGGCTTCGTTGGCCACTTCCTTGAGCCTTCTGATCCTATCCCTTTGCGCATCCTTGGGACAGAAAAATGGAGAGCGACGTCTTTGCAGACGGGGCTCTCGTATGAATGGCAAGCCAAGGGGACGCTCGCCTGCCGAAGTGGTGCCACTCAGAACCTAGTGCCTGCAGGAACTATTTAGGAAGAGGCCTGGACGGGAAGGTGTCTGCAACATCGTTGATGCATCACGTGTTCATTATGGCCAGAGTGAGGAGGACGAACGGCCATTCAGTGTCCATGGGTGCATGGCTGAAAAGGGATTCCGCGGTGCGGACTGTTGCTGTTGTCGTCGTTGCTGTTGTTGCTAGTGGTGTTTTGGTTATGTGTTGATTTTTGTTGTTTGCTGTCGTCGTCCCTCCCGCGACCCGGCCCGCGACGCACCCGCCACCCACCCGCGACCCGCCGGCGACCCACCCGCGACCTGCCCCGCGACCCACCCGCGACTCACCTGCGACCCACCCGCGACCCACCCGCGATCCACCCGCAACCCATCCGCGACCCTCCCACTTGCTTTGACAATAAATTCGGGTCCTGCGGCGGGCTCGCTGTATGCTTCGATTGAGAATCGGCGCCTGCGGCGGGCTTTTTCAGAGCCTCGCAGGCTGCGACGACCCCGCCGCCCCCTCACACTTCTCCGCAACTGCGGGGTGCTACATTTGTTCTGAGTCATCCGTCGTCGTCGGCGTCAGCCGCGAACGTCGAGAGGAGAGCAAAACAAGGAGAGAAACCGCGAGAGCGTCTAGAGGGGGTCTCAGGGGGGAGGGGAAGAGGCCTCGATGGGGCGGGATCCTCCTCCTCCTCCTCCCCCTCCTCCTCCTCCTCCCCCTCCTCCTCCTCGTCCTCCTCCTCCTCCTCCTCCTCGTCCTCCTCCTCCTCTCTGTTCTTGCT